TTTGTGAGAATCTCTGGTACGGTTAAGAAAATAAGAAAATAAATAGTATGAATTTCTTGCGGATATGCATGTCAACTTCAAGTCTAAAGCCACTATTTATTGAATTCTATTTCAGTTGGATGCCCTTTTTTCCCCTTTAATGTTTCATGCTTTTTCTTTTTTTCTTGTTCTAAAGGGTCTTTTTCTCTAACCGATTTCTGTTTTGTTTGGATATGGTGTAAAGGTTCGAAGTGAGTAATACAAATTAGCATTAATAAAATAGTTAATTGAGTAAATACAAATTAGCGGTGATGGAATGAGCAATAAAGAAGAAGATCAAATACGTCATCTCATTCAAATACTCAACATGCCATGATTTAATACATTTAATTAAGAAACCATATTGATATTATTATATAGGCTGATCAAAAGTCTTGAGGGGAGATATCGAATATGTTGTCACGAATTGCTCATTCCATCACCGTAAACAAAATTTTGAATAAACCACGACTATATATATGTAATTCCAATTTATATCGATTTGATGAAATTGAAAGATAAAGTATTAAAGAACTAGCATCAACCCGTAGATGAGTACACTGGCGGTTTAACCCAAAAAAAAAAAATATATCTATGGTCTACTCAAAATCGAAATGGGTCATTTAGGGCATGTACATTGAAAGGTTTTTAAGAAGTTCTTAAAGGGTTGTTAATTTAAAAAATAAAGAAAAAATGCTAAATAAGCTTCGAACCAGTCCTTAAATTAGAGATTATAGATCCTTCAAGGACCCCCGACGTGTCAGTTGTTGGTTGGTTGAACTAATTTTGATTAAAAAAAACAGACATGTATCGTCTCTTTCTTCCCGACTCTTTCTCTCATCCAAACTCTTTCTCTCTTGGCGATTTCGCCGAAGCGATCCATCATCTCTGATTAACGGTGAAATCGCTTCTGATTCGTTGTATATGTTACGATTAACGACGAATCGGAGCTGGGAACAACGATCGATTTAGGGGTTTTCTCCGATCTAGGGTTCTTTGATGCGTTTTGGGTTTAGGAGTTTTGTCCGATCTTCTCCAATCGATCTCTCTGGGTCTTTGTTGACAACAACAATGACGATTCTTTTGGGTTTTGGGGTTGTATCGAGTCCGATTCGTCTGGGTTTTGGGTTTTGGGTTTTGGGTTCTCATCTTCTTCTTCTCAATCTCGCTTTCTTTCAATCAAATTCAAGGGTTCGTTTGGATCCAAATCAACTAAAGAAGCTGTTTGTGAATACTAAGGAGTCCTAACCAATGGATGAGAATTTTTTTTTAAAATAAGTATGGAACTCTAAACTAATTTTAATATTGATTTAGTATTATAAAATTGTTAAGAACTTTTAATGGAGTTCTAACTAATGTACATGCTCTTAGCTTTATAACAAAAAAAAAATTTATATTTCAAAACCTAATTAAAACCTCTAAATTCAATGGCTAGAATGTTGCTACATAGGGGATTTTAGATTTTGAAATATTTTTTTTATATGGTTATACAACCCAATTTCCCAATCAAAATCGCATCTATGCCAACCTGATTAATTTATTGGTTTTGCTTCACTTATGTATAAACCTTTTTTTACAACATATATAAACCCTATTTGTAATAAGAAACAAAAAAAAAAGTCAGAACTTAACCAACGTTTAGACATCAAGCGTACTCCAAATGATTGATGAACGTCTTACAAAAAAAAAAAAAAAATTGTAAAAGTTATTAATACCACTTGTACATTATATTTGTTATCATATGTAAAACCACCAAAAGTGTATATATCACTCAAATCTAACGTTGACTCTCGGAACTTCATATCATCGTGATGACCAAAAACAAACATTCCCCCAAAAATTCACTCATTTTCTCGTATACCTATCATTTTCCTTCAAAAAAATAAAAAATCAAAATCAAAATCTTATTTAAATCGCACCGTCGCAATGAATGCGACGGTGGTGCCACCTGACTCCGGCCGGTGGCTAACAGCCTCTGAAAGGATTGGTGGATTCGCTTACGGAATCGGAGTCTCCATTGGTATACTCCTCTTAATTACCACAATAACCATCACTTCTTACTATTGCACTCGAAGCCATATCTCTGCCTCTCCCACGACCACTCCAAGAACAAGACGCCGGCAAAGACAAACCAATGGAACGTTGCCACCTGGCAGCCAACATGATGATCAAAACGACACCGTGGTGGTGGAAGTCTTGGGGCTAAACGAAGAAGTCATCAAGAGTTTTCCTAAGCTTCCTTACGAAGAGGCTCGTGTGAGTTATAGCTTGCAAAGAGAATCCACTACGACGTCGTGTTGCTCGATATGTCTTGCGGATTACAAGAAGACCGATATGATTAGGGTTTTGCCCGATTGTAACCATTTGTTCCACGACAAATGCGTTGATCCTTGGCTTAGGCTTCATCCTACGTGTCCGGTATGTCGTACGTCTCCGTTACCGTCTCCGGCAATGACACCTGTCACCGACGTTGTTCCCTTTGCCCTCCAAGGGATGGATATTTGACTTTTAATTTTGTCCCGTTCTTTATTTTTTTATTATTGTATTTTTAATTCTTGTTGACATTTTTTTTAGAGTATATTATCTCAAAGCTGTAAAGTTTCACAATTTTTTATTTGGTTCCTTATTCATACAAATATATGTGTATATATTGTTATTTATCCTTGAGACAATTTGTAATGTTAGTCTGTTTGAGATTATATAAGAAGCCATGCTTTTTCAGAAGCTGAGAGAGCTCTTCCATTGGTGCAAAATCACCATCCATACTAAATAAGCTGTCAAAAACAAAAATGAGATCCAACCATTACAACTTCCTTTCATTTGTCCACGCACAGTCTCAAACCACCAAAGACGTTAATAAGTATATTGAAATAAAGTTATGAATATTGACATGAGAATGAAAAGCAAGAGGGACAAAGCTATGATGATCAGATAAGAAAGCAGTTTGAGGGATATAAGCAAGTACTCACTGTTAACGACTATAGAACAAGAGCAGTAAGCAAGTAGCAAATGAGACTCACTTATCAGTCACAACGACCTTCCTCTTCATTTTGCAAGTTGATCTGTCCAAATAATTATAGACGATATGTCATGAAACAAACCATACCTTGCATTATCAACATCAAAGAAAGCTGTATCTTTGAAAGGCAAGAAAGAAACGTACCATTGCTAGGTTCATCGCGAAGCCATTTCTGAAATTCGTTTAAGAAGAAAAAAAGACATTCAGAGAAGCAAAGTAATTAGAGCTTTAAAAATATGAGGAATATGATTTATTCGATTCTAGAAAACAGATTGAAACCAAAAATGGTTAGACTGGATATATAGAGACAGTAATTATTCACAAGCTAATGTTAATAAAACCAACAAGTTTCCTATGATGATGATTATTAATGAAAACCTCCAACGATCTGTAATCTTAGTCTGTTTGAGATTATATTATAATGATTATTAATGTTAGACTTTATTTGTTTATATTTTAGCTCGAATATAACAATGATATTCTCTCAACCGGAGGAAGAAATGTTTATATTTTAGCTCGAATATAACAATGATATTCTCTCAACCGGAGGAAGAAAAATGTTTAAAACATTGCTATGGACATAATTAGACCGTTGCCAACTTACACTAAAGATTTGCAACAATTTCAAAATCGAAAGAATTTTTTTTTGACAAAGATTATGTTGAAATATGGTCAAATACACAAGTCAACAGTCTAGAAGAAGTCAACAGAATGAAGACTCTAATGGATTTAGAGGGTTTGAAGTGTTATGGTTGAGACTCGGTTTAATCAGCTTGCTCTCGGTTCGATTCAAGTCTGGTTAGTTCCGGTTAACTATAACAAACCTTATCCTTCACATTAAAGTTTTTGTTAACAGATCGAGTATAAGAGATGTTGAGCTTGAGCTCAAGAAACTTTATCATCTTCATCGATTCTCTGGTTTTGTTTGAGAGATCGAGAAAAACACTTGTGCT